CTAAGCTGCTGTAGTTGTTGTGTGAGGAACTCAGCATGGCAACCAACTCCCATAGCCCAAGGGATGGGCGGGAGAGCGTCTAAAGCAGCTACAAATCGAGAGCGTGCCTCAGGTTCTTGAAGTGCTTGTGGTCTCAACCGAACTGGGCGAGAGCGTTTTGTGGTCTGATCAACCAAAACGAAATGCAGGCTCAATTGCAAAGCTTGGTGATCGTCTTGCTGGGCAAAGGTGTCAAGATCGAATTGCAGGAAGGTATGCGGCTCGAAGTTTTTCCACGTTTGATGCAGCACAAAATAATCCAAACGCCCACCTCCTACTGTATGATGTCTCCAGGTAGCACTGGGACCTTGATGAACAGCTGGAAAGGTGTTGGCAGCGAAGAGATTGTGCTTCAAAAGGACTGGATGCAACAAGCGGCCACCTGCATTCTCAGGTTCCGGACACACATTGCTTACACTGTCGCTTTCAACCTGGCCTAAACGGGCATTAAGATCACCTCCTAGGATAAGCTTCGAAACCTGGGCAGTAACTGTCAAAAGTCTGTCAAACCAGGCCCACCACTGGTCCTGTTGAACATCTGTGGAAGACGGCAGCGGTGCATGGACTGACATGAACCGACAGCGAAAGGGACCGCAATGCACGGCCATCAACAAATGGCGATGGTCATAGGACAGGGTTTGGATGTCGGCATCACGAAAGCGCAGCGATTGAGTGGCTGTCTTACCAATGACAAGAGACTTATGGAACCACAATTCGCACCCATGGTTTGCATCACTGCCTGAGCAGTAAACGTAGTACCAACGATTGTGGCGTGTGCCTGTGTGTGTGCGGCATTCTTGTAAGGCAACGACAGCAATTCCTAACTTATTAAATTGCTCTGCAAGCGCAAGTGCCTTGCCATCGGCTGTCAAACCACGGACCAGAGCCTTTATGGAGCCAGCGGACAATGTTTGGACATTCAGGGTAACCATGTCGAAACGCACAATGCTTTGGGCATTCTCGGTGAGGCTAACAGGCGATGTCCAAGTACAGTCAACGGGAAAATTGGTTCCTGGTCCCTCAAGGCAAAAAAGCGGCTGCAAAGCCAAGGCAGACGGTACATCAGGCTGGGCTTTCAAAGCTAGCCAGGCATGTGAGCTGTGTTCATGGCGAACCAGTTGGCTAATGACGAGTGGCAAAATGGACGAAAACAGCAAACGTTTGGCAGTGCCTTTTGCAATGGCGTCTGCGAGTTCATTCCAGGGTTGCCCGTCGTGAGCGGCAACATGGCGGAAAGAGACAGAGCGTTTGCTGGCTCGAACTAAGGCACGCAGGCAAAAGAGGGATCGAAACAGAGCCCTGCTTTCTAAGTCGCATCCTCCTTGCCAGGAGCCGGCTGCTGAATAGCCAATGCTGGTGCTGTCAAAACACAATTCAATGTTTTGGCATGAGTGCTGCAAAGAAAATGCTAGGGCCCAAACCATCGCACTTGCTTCAGCTTGAGAGGAGCAAGAAGTTGTAGCTCCAACGAAATGGGCATCTTGCATGCCGTCTAGAGCAGTATGCACTTGGCCAGTCAAAAAGCCTCCATAATGCCACTTCAATCTGTCCGAGGGCAAATCAAGGCATTCATACAAGATCACCACGGACCAAGCTGCAGCATCGGGGTAAGACTCATGTCGAAAGTGGGAGCCATCAGTATAGAGGCAGACTTTATTAACATGATCTCCTTGCCAATCAGGCGTAAGCTGTAGAGCTAGCTGGCTGGACGAATGTAGTTCTGGCAAAAGTTCCAAAACCTGTCTAGACATTTCACTCACCTGCTGGGGCCATGGACGGACGGCCGATTCTACGAGAGCGGTGAGGTCAGCAAAGGAAGACTGGGCACTACTAGGCACTATGAGACTATCCAAACAAAGAGTAGTGTGACTTGCAAAAACTGGTTCACCATTCTGGGACTCCTGATTGCCATTCAACGAAAAGGGAAAATTGCTGGCGCAATGTACAGGAGATTCCCCATAGCTATCTTGAAAAACAGCAGTATCTGGAAAACGGCCCAAATCGGAATCACCGGACCCATGGGATTGCCGACTAAGGGGACCAACGAAAGGCAAAGGCAAAGCATTCCAGGCCACTGTGGACGGGCCCACAGTGGCCCCAACATCTACCCCTGTTCCTCCGGGTCTTCTTGGGAGGCGACTTCGGTGGGCACGTTTGAACCGTTCTCGTCTTCCGAATGCACTTGGACTGGGACAACACCCACCGCTTGCATTGGACGGACAATTCCTTGCTGATGCTGTTCGTGCACACTTCCTGAATGCATTTTGTGCAACTTGGGAACTCGGCTGAGCTCGATTGGTGTAGTCAATCCGGCAGGATCGCCTGTGGCATAACATGGTGCGAGGTTCTCGGGCACTGTAGGGACAGCCGGATTGAAGATGGCTGGACCCGGCGACATGGCGGTCTCTAGTCGCTGAAGGGCAGTGCCTGGAGAGGATGATGCAATGGAAACTGGCCTCTCGGGAGTGGCTGGAGGTGGCAATTGCGGGAGACCACCTACATCCACATGGGCTGTAGCAGGCGTTGGACTTGCAGCGCCATCGTCTGAAGCTGCGACTGCTTGTGATTGCTCGTTCTGCGATGTCATAGCTTGTTGCTGGATCCATTGTTGTATCTGCTGCTGTTGAAACTGTTGGTATTGCAGGGCAGACAAAACCTGCCTGTACCACAGAGTCATCTGAGCATCTGTCTCCTGTGGCTCGGTTTGCCCTGATGCAATCTGTTGGTTTGCTGAATGCATTGGTTCCGATGTGGGAAGGGCAGCTGCTTGTTGTGTAGGGCTGGATGCTGTAATCGGGCAGGGTTCCGTCATAGTGCCAGGTGCTTGTGCTAGTAGAGCCGATTGATCTGGAGCTGTTGCCTGGGGCTCGACTGAAAGAGGCTGTGCAATCGTATTTAAACCAGGCACAGGTAAAGCTGGCTGTGATGGCTGAAGCTCTTGTTCTGCCTGTTGTACTGCTTTCAGTAAAGCGGCTTGTGTGCCAGGTGTATCTGGTGTGCCAGGCCAGGCGTTGGTGAATGGAGTGATCGGCTGTGCTGGCGACGAAATGTCTCCTGCTTGTGATTTCTGTTCTGAGCCACTTGACCATCGGCCTGGGGGCGGAGTAACGGGCCCAAAAATTGGTGGGCTGGCTGGTGCTGGCGATGCTGGCGAAATAGCAGGACTCGCTTTCATTGTCTGTGGCGAGACTGGATTGTCGGATGATTTGGCCATGGACTGAGTAGCAATTGGCAATGCTGCCAGTGGCTGTTGTCCAATCTGATCCTTGGTCTGTGCAAGATGCGATGATGCAGGCAACACTGAGTGTGGGCACGACTCTGGAGGTGCAATGCCAGCCAGATATTGCGGCCCAGGAAGCTGTGGTGGCGGAGGCTGTGGTTGCTCTGCCTGTGGTGCTTGGCACGCTGCATAAGCCCATGGTGTGATTGGTCGACAGGGCTGAGCTGGTATCTGTGCTGGCTGCAGGGATGGGACCAAAGGGGGCTCTGCGGTTGCAACATTGCCCAAACCTGTCAGGGCTTGTTCCACAGTAAGCGTATTGGCTGGAAAAGGAGGCTGTGGATGATTTTGGGCAGTATGGATGTTGGGTGCAACTGGTAAAGTGTGCCCATGTGGCTGCATGGCTGGCATACAAGGGCTGCTGTAGATTCCTTCTACATCCATTGGCATGGTGGCTGGAATCATCACTTGAGCTGCACTGGGACCAAAAATCTGAGCAATCTCGGCCTTGATCGACACAACCTCTTCTTTGGCCTGCTTCAACTCTTGTTGTGCCAAATGAACAGTATGCTGATAGCTGGCTTGTGCTGCAAGGAGCTTTGCACGTTCGGTTTGGAGGTGTGTCTGCCAGGCTTGGTTGGAAGTATCCAAAATTTCTTCTAACTTTTTGACTCTCTTCTCTGCTTTGCCTAAACGATTGGCTTCGGCGTGTAACTTGGCCTGAAGCGACTTTGCTGGGACCTGTTCCGCTGCCATGGTTTGACATGCTGTAGCGAGGTCGCATTGTTGGACAATGCACGTGTGCTGAAGCTTTTGCGCAAGAGCTTGTATTTGTAGAGCCAATGCAGACTGTCCTGAGGTCGAAACATGGGCTTGTGTGTTCAAATGCCCTGCTTGCTGACTTCCTGTCGATGCTGTCGCATGCCCTGTGGTTGTCATGGTTGCTGTTGCTGCTGCTGTATGGGCTAGGGCTGCTGCTTGCTGATGCTTCGACGAATGCATAAGCTGGACAGTTGGACCATGTTGGACTGACTCGGCAGGGGACCATGCAACTAGCTTGGAACTCGAGACTTGGTCCTGGCCACCAAGTGTATGCAAGACAGACTGCAAGGACGAAGGCTGCAACGATGGTTGTTTTGCAGCTGAAACCACCCCTGATTTGGACTTTCCCTTCTTTGAATCGGGGGAACTCCAATGGAGGTTGCAACCCTTGCAAAACTCTACATTGGGGCGGTTGGAAAACCCACATGAACAGATCCATTTGCTCATTCTGTATTTTCTGAATGAGTGATGACTCTTCAGTCTCTGGAGAAAAACCTTACTAGGGATCCAGCTGTGGCGCGCTTGAGATCTCAAAGATGACCTCTTCTTGCGCCTCTTGCGATGCCAGCTTGGTGAACCTGATCGACGTCCCTGCAGGATGAAGAAAATGGCTCTTTTGCGGCACCGCAAAGAAAGGACGAGCTATCGACCTAATGTCGACTTCTCTGGGGCTAAGCAGTCGCTGCTAATAGCGTGTTCTGAGCCCTTGTAATGTAATATTGATATAATACAAAATAGAGTAATATACTTTAGATATTTTTGATATATTATGTATATATTTGTGTTTTACGAAAAGACAACCATATTAGAATCGGTAATTGAATCAGTTTTCCAACTGAAGAGTGATAGTCGTCATTGATTCCAATCACTTTTTTGATTCTTTGGCCCATCACTGGCCCATCCTGCCATCAGTGCTCAGGTGTGGGATCAGAAGTTCCTGGAACATCACCTCATCGCCATGGCGGGCTATGCCACCTCTGAGTTGGCGAACGTCTTCGGCTTGGCCAATGCGGTGAACACCTGGATCACTGAGGTGAAACCCGTCATTCTCTGAGGGGGAGGACGGCCCAAAACACCGGGGGCACCACCATTGGGGAAGAACCAGAGGTTTCCCTTGACTCCTGGAAAAGTGAAAGAAGAACCCCGTTGTGCTCGATTCGCCAAGCTCGACCAGGTGGGTTCATTGATGTATTCTGCGTATCTCATCAAGAGGTCTGATAGCTTGTACTTGGCGTTTGTTCCTCGGCTGATGAGCGGGCGCATTCTATTTTGAGTGTAGGTTGCATTGTCTCAATTTCCCACACTTCACTTGTTCAAGGAAGGATTGCTGTCGGGACTTGGGGCGAAAGTCAGACTACTGTACTAGCTGGAAGGTTTGTTGCAGGACATGGTGAAGAATCAAGAAACGCTCTTCTTCCATCCTTTCTCAGAAGGACTGCCCACGTGGACTAAGCTACGGGCAAGGAACCTGCACTGAGGTCATTTGTTACACATTGAGCAGACTGTATTTCGCATACTGGAGCCTGGTGGTCTTGGGCCAGGTTGGATGCCAGTGTCTGAAGTGTGAAGGTGCTGAGTCTACGAGGGCCTGGAACCTGTTGAAGAGTGATGTTATTGCCTGAGTATGCATTGCCAATTCTCAATCAATCATGTCTATATATTCTGATGTTCGATTTTCCCGTGTAGGTCTGGCATGTTTTGAGGGAAGGGCCTGGCACCCTGGTCATGCCTTTCTGGGCGCCTTACTGCGCAGCAAGCTTGCAAGTTCTGTTGTGTCTCAGCGCACGTTCTGGTGGTTTTGGGCAAGACCTTCTCCCTCATTGTGGGAAGAGATGGCTAAAAAGACCATCCAGTCCTCCCACTATGCAGTGATGTAGGATGCATGTTGTTGATAGTGGGATCATGCGCACTGTTGAATGTTTCTCGAGCTTTTTGCAATCTTTTTTACATACACGTGCAGGTTGGTGCAGGTCTCTTTAGCAGGCAGATATACGGACGTTTTGCCCGGGCCAAGGTTTGGTGTCAATGCCACCTTTGTTGCCACCCACTGGAAGAAACTGCTGAAGCGCTATTCCTCCGGCAAGGCGGAGTGAGGAGCCACCTGAGCCACCTGTGTCGTTTCTCGATGCGAAGAGAGGAAGCAGCGAGGGACCCGTCCTCTCCTCGTCGGTTTGAGGGTGTGGGAACAAGGGCGGTGAAGGAGACGAGGAAAGCAGCGCGAAAAGGTGCGTTTTCCGAGGTGTTGAGATGTTCTCCATGTTGTGAAGATCGCTAAGAACTCCCCACACTGACGAGCTCGTGTTAATGTGAGAAGTGCCGGCAGACTGCCTGCAAACAAGCGAGTTCAAGCAATTCGATCGGCTGACCATGCCTGAAAATCTCTAATGTGTGGGCATGGGAACCGGCCGCAGTCAGAATCGGAGGATGAACCGGACTAGAATCACGCGGCAAGTGAGAGTCGAATCTGCTTGGGATTTCTGCTGGTTCGCGACGCAAAAATGCAAACCATTTTACTTTCTTTTACATGGTGCATTAGTTTGGTTTCTTTGACCGACCCCCTGAATGCTAAAGCTTGGGGGTTCATGTTGATGTCCTTCTGAAAGCTATTCGCTGTTGGGACTATAGTCGTAAAAATTTCCGGTTGAGATGGCAAAATCGAACATTCTAGCTTGCCGAGCTTGGGCTGTTTGCGGTGTTGCACACTTCGACACCGTTTGATGAGTCAGTCGATTGAACGCACCACTCATCGACCGCTGGCTGGCTTCTCTCGCCAGGGGACGGTCACTGGTCTCCTAGAAGATGTTCAGTGCTTGAGGCCCGGGTTTCCCCCGGCTGGCGTCGCTTGGACGATTCTCGGGTGGTTTCCAAACATCACTTGCATAGACCCCACTGGTGGCACCCGCACACCGACCAACGAGCGGCCCCGCACAGGCAGCGGCTGGATGTGTTGGACCAGCGGCGCATCGAGCCAAAGGAGTGTCGGCCAAAGGGGTTGGGGAGTGGATCTGAGCCACCTTGGCGAATTCACTTGCTGTCAGAATTCCTTACCTTAAAATCCTTCCAAACACACGGCTGGCTGTGTTCACATGTTTTTGGGTTGTGTGTGCAGTTGGGTCCGGAAGGAAGTCGGTTTTTCCAGGATACAGACAAGCGTTTCAATGAGCTTGCCGCGCAAATCCAAGCTTGGCGCTGAGCTGCAAAAGCGACGGAGCTGTCAGCGGATTCCCTGAATCCGAAGGTCAACAGAACGTGGGATTCTTGAGATTTTCCGGGATGGTGTGATGGCCCCAAAGACCGGCTGAGATGGCACCAAAGACCGCAGAACATCGCTATTTTCATCTTCATGGCATGTGTTTTCACCATTTTGACTCCCTTTGTTCGTCAGTGCCGGGTCACCGCTGGATCTGCTTTCACCGCCACAGGCGCTCGAGCACCAGGGCCGCCTGTCTCAAGCGGCCTGGGACGAGTCGCAGCGGCGTCAAGCGGCGCGGCAGCGGCGCTGGGAACAAAACCTGGAGGTTCCTCGGTGCTGGGAGCGATGGACAGTATGCTGGGAGCGAGTGAAGAGATGTGAAGAAATGGTGTTGGATATTGAAAAAAGGCACACGAAAAAACGGTGAAAACAGTGGTTGCCTGGAGAAAAGCAATTGATCAATCCACTGAATGCCGATTTGGTAGGCTGATTCGCACGATTTCCCAAACATCGGCGCCGTATATTTTTTCACAAAGCATGCATTGGTCTCAGCATTGGTCTCGGGTGAAGGAGCTGCATACCCGAATCGTTGCGGGCTTAGCATGACCAGTGAAAGAGAGCTGTTTTGTTGAGTGCCAAATCCAGGGCCGTTGCCGGGTTCTTTGGTCCATCTGGAGCTGACAGACCGACAGATTTCGCCTCACGCGCTGGGTGCCCTTTGGAGTGCCAAAAAGCACAAATGACCTTCTTGCAAGCCCAAGCACAGGCGTCCCGATTCCGGTGGCGCGAGGGGCTGAAGAAAGAACATGCGGAAAATGCGGAACGGCCAATGGCTCGTGGGGACAGCTGATTCGGTCCAAAAGGGTGCAAAAGACGGGAACTGTACTTCTTGTTGCTTACTTACTTACTTGTAGACAAGCTGGGCCGAACTGCCCAGGTTTTGGCTTGTAACAGCCATGCCATTAGAAGCTATAAAGCATCCGGGTTCGTTCTCCGAATCCGATGCTGCGTGGGGCAGATCCGAGTTGACCAAGTTCTATTGTGATATCATCACCTAAACATTGTGTTACCCGGTTGCCGTCTGGTGCTTGACCACATTCCTTAGATTGAAGCCAGCGTTGCGATGACTGTTTTGAGTCGTGGGGAAACGATTGATGTTCACTCCTGGAAACGAAGGTGTTTTCAGTTGAAGAAAACTTAGTTGCCCAAGTTATATTTTATATAGTATATAATATTACTTTTTTTTCTTAAATTTATTATTTCAATGCAGAACGATGTGTGGATGTGTGGGGGTATTGGATGATTCCCCCTGCCATGCCGTTGAACATGTCCCTAGCTCCGTGAGTCAACGAAGTCCCGATGACCTTGTTGGACCCCAGGTTTGGCGGGTGGTTTTGCCTGAGTCGTTGACCGCACCAAGTCTCGGCAGGTCACTTCCGCACCATTCTTGTGTCTAACACAAACCTCTCATGGGAAGAGACATCTAATTTCGAGTGTCTTGTCTTGTTTCGCAGTGCATAGAGTGTTGGCTGCCCTTGGTTGTCACCAAGGCCGCTGGAGAAATGGCGAACCGTGGAAGCAGGTGCGGTGCGAGTGGGTTGCGCTGCTGTGGAGGCAACCCCCACTGAACCAGTAGAACCTGGATCATTGGTGAAAGATAATTGGTTTCATAAAGACCTCCTTAATATTTTGCATCATGCAGGGGTCCAGTTGTTGATTGTGTACCCCTCAAGTGAGAAATGCTTTACCCTCGCGGCGACGTGGGAAGACCCCAGCATCACGTCATGCCTGGCCCCCTGGTCTCGACCGACCATCCCGACCGGGCGAGCGTTGGTGGGAGGTCCAACTTGGCGTTGCCGGAGCACTTCGAGGCGCGCGTGCGGAAGCTGGAGCAGCGCCAGGAGCGGCAACCGGAGAGGAGCTGGAGAAGGAGTCGAACAAAAGAATTGTGCAGAATCTAAGATGTTTTTGTATGGGAACCCCGGGTCAGTTTTTAAGATATCGTTTTCGTAGCTCAGAGTCTCTCCCGTGCAGAAACTTTGCTCTGTGCGAAATCGGAACTTCATAGTCAGAGTCTGACTGCCGAGCCAGTGGCATTGGTAATACGTGAGATTGAATCGGCAAGAACCGCCAATAGAACAATAACCTGTGCATTTGATCCTCAAAGGCTTGTCGTTTGCTTCTTAAACATGTTGGGTCCGTGCGACCTCTCCTGCTTGAGAGCCCACATATATATTTCTGAGCAGTGGTGTGGCAGTTTGATGTTTGGGAGCAACCTAACTGAACTAACCTGACTAACCAAACTGCTCGTCATGTCTACAAACACACACACACACACACCTTTGGGATCCTTTGGGTCAGGACTACTCCGAGTCAGCCCTGACCACCTTGCAGATGCAGGCGAGATTATGGCTGGACGCCACTGTCACGAACACCGTCACGGATGGTCCCCTCCACTAAGAAGTTATAGTAATAGTAGCTTGTCGTAGCTTGTAGTAGGTTGTAGTAGCTTGTAGTAGTGCTGTAGCGGCCGTAGTGACCAACAGCTTCAGCGGTTGGTTGATTTTGAGACGGACTTGGGAGATGTGGCTCGCACGGATGGCCTGCGACTCCAGGTCCAAGAAGGTCTCCAAGCGGTGAACCTGACAGGCTGTGTGGGTACTCGTCTTCGTCTCCCGTGTTGGTTTCCATGCGCCACAGCGGTCGCCCTTCCCTTGTGGAGTGGTGGATGAGGGTGTTTTTCATGCGCATTCCACTGCCAGCAATTGGATGCACGAGCCAGGAAGGAGTGTAACTTGTTGAGAAGAACCAGACTGGATCTCTCGCTGCTCCCTTGCGCCGGAAGAGCCCAATCGCCAGCAATTGTGCTTCGTTTCAGGAGATGAAGATGAGGCACATGGGGAGAATGGGGAGAGGAAACACCTTCGGAATGCTTTTGGGCGAAGGCTCCTGCTGAGCTTCGTGTGCTACTAAATATGGGCACCTCCCTGCCAAAATTGATTTGACCCTCCGGTTGAACCAGAAGTGAGCCAACTCGTGCCACCAACAATTCCAGGATTATCCAGCGAACCTAACATTCAGAATTTTGCATCACAGCACAGCACACTGAAATTTTTCCACCCTCGACATTCTGCCTTTTCGCTTGAAGCCATAAATGCGACGGATGGCACCCCCTTGTTTCTTCTCAAAATTTTAACCTCAGACGATTCCTTGAAGTCAAAGTCCTTCCCTCTCCCACGTCGGCCTCGCCAGTCCATGTCGGAACGTGGACTGATGGCCTTGGAGCGCAAGACCTCCGGCCAGATCCAGGTGGAAACCGATGGAAACCGGTGGAAATGGGACCCCGGGGTGAGCAGAGTGGTGGGTGGGTCGGAAGCGGCTTTGAAGCTAAGACGTGCGTGTTGGGATTTGGGATACAGTATCTAATGGATGAGGTGATGAGGGGTTTCGGACGTTTTCTTTCCAAGTTTCGGAGCCTGATGTAGCTGGTTCCAGTCTGCTGGTAGCTCATCCACTGAATCCACCTCACCCCCACATGGAGTCAATCCTTCAAGCCAGTTTCATTGTAGGACCTCTCTTCTGCGGTTGCCGGCCTTCGTGTTCGCGTGGATGGACAGCTGCTGACTCAGTGATGCTGCGTGTGCTTACCTTGGCCTCGAAATCAAGGCTCCCCTCCACTTTGTGGAACCCAGGACTGCATAGTAGGTAGACGTCACTCTACCCATCTCTATCCCTTAAAACATGCAATGTAAATCAGAAGAGACGGCTTTGCTTCGTTCCGTGGACCACGCCGTTTGGCGTGCCGCGACTTCGGCCGTGCTCCGCCGTGCCTCCGCCTCGAGGCTCCAGCGGATGGGTAGCCTGGCCGAGCGCCTGGAGGCCGAGCGCTCGGCCTCGCCCAAGGGCTTGGCGCTGCTGCGCGGAGAGTTGGCACAGCAGGTGCAGGAGCGGGGATGAGCGGGTGGGTCTGGTGAGGGTCTGGTGGACGGGGGTGAGGGGTGATTGTGAGATCTCAGCATGCAGGCGGAAGCCACTGTGTTGTTTTTTGGGGGTGTAGGGTGTAGGCTACTCGGATGCGGTAACTAGGTGTTTGTTGATTCTTGGTGGATTGCCGCATTTGCTGCATGTCCGTTTGTTGATTCTGTGATTGGCACACGACGCGTGGACTTGGCCATCGAGAGAAGCGTGGACTTGGCCTCAATCATGTTCAACTTGACTTCGGAACATGCGGGAGGTCACATAGTTTGATTTGGACGTTCCCGTTTTGAGTTTTGAGACTCCAGTGGAGGTTGGCCCACTGTTGTAGATCGAATGTTCGAATCAGCTTTTCACGAACATCTCTGAGGAGCAGCAGCAATACGTGACAGAAATGGCTGTCCTGCGCAGCAAGATGCAGGCGATTTGTTCAAGGTGTCTTCCGTTTGCGTATGCAGAGGTGGTGTAACTGGTTCCTGGGCTTCCTGCAACATGGTCGTGTAACATGTGTAACTGGAAAAACCCTAAAGGGTTGATGGACTTGAAGGGACTTCACTTCACTTCACGGCGACGTGCGCACGGGTGAACCCCTCAAGGGGCCCGTGCTAAGCTCAATCAGGACTTTGCTGAGTGCTACGACGACAGCCTGGCCGACATCAAGGAGGCCCGGAGCTCCGAAAGGCTGTCGCGCTCCGCGTTTTTCAACCCGCGGGGGGCCGCAGAAGGCGCGAGCGTCAGCCGCTCGCTTGCAGAAGGCGCGGGGTGTAAGCCGCTCCGGTGGCGTCTCGATGGATCCAACCCAAAAACTCCTGGACAGTTTTTATCCACAGCGGTAACCATATAATCCAAAAGCCAAGCGCCCAAGCATCCTTCTCGATGCTGAGACTCAGTGATGGATGCATGGCAGGCAAAAACACAACAACATATAACTTCATACAATTTCCAAGACCCCCTTAAGGGGCTTCTATTGATAGCCTTTTAGAGGTTCAGGGGTGTCCATTAACCACCCCGACTGTGAGGTGCTGGTGGTTGTCCACCTTCTCCGATTTCCTTTGCCTTTGACTCCCAAAGTCCGTTTCACTGTCGCCGTTGTGGCTGCAGTCACGCCCCCGTGCCGCTGTCCGTGCCCAGCAACCGCCCGCCCTGCGTGTCATGCCGGAGCCGACTCGCCCGGTGTGCGCGGGGAAGAGCATGGAGCAGCTGAAGATCCGCCTCAAGCCAGAGCAGCCGTCCGTGAACTTGGGCGAGGACCTGCGTGGCCTCTTTCAGCCGCCCAGCAACACTTCAGAACTTCAGGATTTTCATAGATTCTATTTTTCTTTTCTTTGTTTCACACGTTCTGATGTTTTTTTTGGTTTCAGCACTCTTTCTTTCATTTTCTGAACGTGACTAAGATGCCACGTGTCCAGGACTTGCCAGTTCTTCGACATTGCTTTGGTCGTTGAGACGATGCGATTCCCCGCTCACAAAGCCGTTGTGGCCTCCTTGAGCGGACCGATGCAAGAGTTTCTCAGGTGCCGTTGAGCTGTGTGGGTTGGGGCTTCTGACAAGTGAACAAATCGATCACGTTCCGACCAGTTCGAACGAATTCCTTCCTATGAAATGCACTCCCCACACACATCGCCCTGACACATCGCGAGAACGTATAGCTTGCCTGAGGCCTGAGTCAGATTTGAGACACCTCACCATCCTCACATCATCTCACCCCAGCCACAGGAAGTCGCTGGGTGGGGAGCAGTCCTGGGCCTTTGGCTCCGTGGACCAGCTCCCTGCCCTGGACTTGGAGGTCTCTGAGCCGAAGGCGAATCGACTCGATCTGTCGAGGTTGCTTTCTTCTGACACGAGCCGGTGGACACGAACGAGCTGTGGACATCACCAGCAAAACACGAGCCGGTGGACACGAGCCGGGGACATGACACGAGGAACGCCGGGGCGGGGTGGGAAGGAACGGAATCGCCTGACCTCTCGCTCGCTGGTGACTTGGATCGCTGGGGTGTGGTTCTTGGTGGTTCTTGGTGGTTGCAATCAAGAAGGAGACGTTTGAAAGATCCGCTTGTTGATGTTTTATGATGTTTCAAGTTTCATGTGATGAGTACTTTGATCAACACCACTTGCCTGCTATTCGATTTGCATTCGCAGTCCCTAGTAGCCCTATATACTACTGACTAGTAACTTAGGACTTGTCGGACATACACGCCAATTCCAAAAGCCTATGTCATCAGGATTGATCCAACATTGGCATTTCCTCTTAAGGCCTATGTCATCAGGCCACAACCATGATATTCATAGAAATACGTATGAGGTATTCAAGGAAGCAACACATAGTCGCACCCTATGTCACCACTGTGTCACCAGGGTGCCAGGCAGTGGTATCTAGCATTATTTAGCTGTTTTTTTACATTTTTTGTCGAGGAGGTATCCACAGGTCCTATGACACCAGGTTTCCCAACCCAGACATTTTTTTGCTCGATATGTCAGGGCACATGACTTAGCCCTGGGGGTAGCCAGATTGGTATGTCACTTGCATCACGTTGGCCTAAGTCATTAGACAGTAGTATAGTACTCTTATTCCCAGCCTTGTGTGGATCTGGTGTTTGGTCCTCGGGGATTCGTGGGTGCTTGGGGCACTTGACCTGCCAGGCCGTATTGATCCTCTTGGACTTTGCCTACAACCTAGGCCTGCCAAGGGTATTCACCACGGTGCTAAGGGTATTGAACTCGGCTCTGGCAGCTCTGGAGAAACCCCCCATCGATTTTTTGTTTTTTTCTCCAATGCGTCTTCCCCACAGATGCCGGTGGCCAGATGCCGCCAGATGCCGCATGCTGCGGGGTGACCTCTCCCCCCGGCGCGGACCCTTCGAGCCAATCAGCGCCAGGCGGGGCCTTCGAGATCGACTTCCAGGCACCGGAACCGGTGGACCTGCGCGACGCGCTTCGCGACGCGCGGGTGCAGCTCGTGTCGCAGGGCCCCGGACTCAGGTCGACGGACGTTCCGTGTGGGACATGACTCGGGGATGACTCGGGATGGAGTCACCTGGCCCCACGGACGGACCTGCGGTCGACCCGCCCGCGGTCGGATCGACCCGAGACCCCCCCGGTCGACCCGAGTCGTTCAGGTCGTGCGAGAGGTCCTGCATTTGGTGAAGGTCTTTGAGCTTCCGGACCTGGAGATCCGCGTGGTGCCTTCGACTGAAGACACGGCCGGGAGCGGGAGACCGGAGACCGTGCAGCTGGCGACCCAGCTGGCGGGGGGGCGGTCTGCCGGGAGGGCCGTGACTCAGGTGGGTTTGAGGGGAGACTTGTGTCAGGTGTGCTGGAAGTACAGCGGTGAGACACCTTTGGGGTGTTCTCCGCATCAATCCGTTGCCATTCATGTAAACCCCTCGATGGCCATCTCAGTCCCTTCGAAGTGTGGAAGTCTTGGCCCCGCGGTGAACCGCGATTCGTTCTCGCTTGCGGTAGCCGTGAGGTGGACTCCTTGGCGCAGCAAGTGGCGCACGAAAACATGTTGGAGATCCTGGCCATTGCGGTGGAATTCGATTTGATCGGCTTGTACAATCATGCATTTAAGACGCTGGTCGGAGTTGGCTTCCTTTGATAGAGGTTTGCATGTGTTGGGCGCGTTTGGGATAGATGTGATATATAGTTTAGTAGTGTTTGTCTCACCACGAGGAAGTTCGAAGTCCCGGACCAAGTTCTAGGGCGGCGGGCTAGGGCTCATCTAGCTGTATCTATGCTGTGGCATGATGTTGCAGAATTTGTGATATCCTCCTATTGGCCTTTTAATGTACCCCAAATTTGGATTTTTTGCTGGTGTTTTTTTGCTGACGTTGACGTTCAGGATCCTGCGTCTGAGTGGATACCTGAAGGAAATGTCCCAAAGTGAAGCTATCCGGAACTATCCGCACCTGATGCAGCACATGTTACTGCACTTCTCGGCGAGTTCGCAGCTCCAGTTGTGACACCAGGTCCCTTCGGGTGTCTCTTCCGACCTGAACATGCAATGCACCGCTGGGGGAATGGCTGCATTGACGATGCAAGAAACGCAAGGAGTGCAAAATAGTGCTTGCACAGGTTCAGCGTTGCGTGGGCGTGTCGTAGCAGCTTGCCCTTTTGGGGGGAGAGAGGGGATTCCATGACATCGCAACCAACAGCTGCGGGCAGAAGAGCGTAAGTAATAAGTCCCTGTGCAGGTTGTACGAAAGGCTAGAGCAGAGCGGGCACCTCAATGCATTGGCGGAGCATATACGCAGTCATTGGTTGTTGGTTATTCATTTGTGCGACAAATACCAGTTGCATTTTCTGGAAGATTAACTTGGCATACTTTTGCTTGTGTGGCAGCTGTTGTTGCCACATCCTAGAGACTAGTTTAGTAGAGCACCGGAGCATTTGAGCTTGCAAAGATGCTAAGTTGAAACTGAGCTGCTAGGCTTTGGGACACTGAAAGTATGATAGATTCACGTAGTGATGCGAAGCTTGTCACAGTCTGGAGTGCTTTGCCAAGGCTGGCAACGCTTCAGGCTTTGCCATCGCAGGTACAAGCAATGCAGGCCAGCCGTTCTCAGGGTGAAACAAAGGTGGCTTCGCCACTCTCAACAGATCTATACAAACAGGACTTGGCTACTGTAGATGTTTCCTTTTCCAATTTTGGTGTGACTAGCTTAGGCCGCTAGGCCCACAAAGTAGTTTCTGCGGGAACTGTGTCAAAGGAGGTCTTTTCCGAAGGACATGGGTCACAGATGAAGGCAGTTGAATGCACTTGAATGCCGAATGCTGCCACTTCTGCTTGCAGCCATCCATCCCAATAGTTTCGGGGGGCGGAGCTCCCCTTGGTCCGGCCTTTCGACGCTCGCCGACCCCTGTCCGGCCCGAACAAGGCGGAGCTCGCTTGCGTGCTGGGACAGGCGCGGCTTCGCCGCGCGCTGTTGCGCGTGGTCCGGGCAACAGCTACGTGGACCAGTCGTTCGCTCCGGTCCTGCTAGGGATATGGTGGACCAAGGTCCACATTTCGAGCACTTCGTGAATTTCTAGACATGGATGTGACTGGTTCCAAAGGGATTCGAGCACTTGGATCTTGATCGAGTCCATCAGGGTGCCCCAAAAGCAGCCCAAAACCCTCGTCGTTCTCCGAGTTGATTTGGCCCACGTAGTACCCACTGGCGCACTTCAGTTCTGAGCGAAGTTCTTCGTCACCATCTTGAACCCCTCCGGCTCCGCACCAGAAGCTCGCAGGTGCCTCAGGTGCCTTACGGCAGTGAGATGCTATGGCCTCAGCCCACTTGGAGTCCATTTTGAAAGAGATGTGAGTTCTGTCTGCAGTCTCCAAGATTGGATTCTGACCAGTGGTGAAGATACCAGTGGATCGATCGGTGGATCTGCCTTGGGCTGTACGACAGCTGCCAGGCTGCAGCTGTCCCAACTTCAAGCGGAACAAGGCCAACTCATCCCTCTTGAAGGCAAGCAATGGGAGCGATGAACTCAAACCTTTTGATCTCGCTGTGCACGATATTCCCGTAGCCTAGCCATAGCTCCCAATTCATGTGCTCAAACTCCCGCAAGCAGATTGGATGACGCTTTTAGAGGCTTGGTGCCGGATGCAAACACTCAGCCATGATCCTAGAACAGCTCTCGAGCATCGCGTTCTGGACTTTGCAGAAGTCAGTTGCTTTCATTGTTCATGCTGCTTTATAAAGAAGAGTTGCTTTCCACCCTGAGGCCTAGAACAGCTCGCCGGTGAAAAAGCCGTTGGTCGGTTCTATCGTGTCTCGACTTTCCGAGGCCCAGCACCACCTGCTATGAGGCCGTCACTCTGGTGTGGTGTTGGGGATGGCTGAAGCGGGTGGAGAGCGCCACATAGAGAGATGGTTCCGGAAACCATGGTGCCTGGTGTCAAGAGTCTGTCTCAAGAAACCTCCTATTGTGCCGGTGCGAGCCATTTTCTGTGACCGACCGAGCACGACCAGGTCTGGTGTCGGTCGGTGCGGGCGAAATCGCGGCACAATCGGTGGACCAGGGCCTCCAGGGCTTTAGCGGCGAATCGACCCACACAGCACTCTCCACAGCACACTCCCCCCAGGGGTGTGCATTGAGACATGTAGCTGAGAACTTGAGAAGCTGCAAGTCCAAGATGCGCCCGCAGGTTCAAAGTAATTCCAGTGAAGAGCTCTTCCACTATCCTCCTGGGTACGGAGACTGAGTGGGTTGTTGTCATGGAGGTGATCTTGCGACGAGCGCCAAGAAGCTTGGAAATCGGAAGATGATTCTGACCCAAAGGAAATCCTGAAGGTAGCGCAGCAATGCACAGCATGTATGCTGGCTTCCATGGGATCCAGTTTATTCCTACAGTGAAGGACGGTCCAAGTATTTCCCAGTTACATCAGGCGTTCAATGTTCTCCTCACAACGACTGTTACTGTACCCGCCAAATACCTAGTGCAGTTGTGATAAGAACTGATACCCGTGTCCAGACGCGCATGAAGCCAGGCTCGAAGTGAACGGGACCCTGGGTGATGTGCAGGTGGGATGTGCGTTGCACCTTTGGACCCAGAGGCCTCTGCAAGCCCAGGGCCCTAGGGCAGACGCGGGGAGAGGTCCATAAAAGGGTCCTCAAGCTGCTGGGGGACCCCACCAGTCCGTGTACCGGACACACATGCCCTGAAAGATTCAGCTTTGACAGGATCTGACATCAGCTGCAAGAAGGTGTGTGGAGGTGTTGTCCCTCTCAAGTTCTTGGTCCGAAGATGTCCGGATGAGTAAAGCCATCCGGCTCCTGCCGTTCCCATCCGGCTCCTGCCGCGCCAGGCGTTTTACGGCGAGGGTCCCGCGGACTCGGACTCGGACGATTCGCCCGGGCGCCCCGGTGAAGCGGTGAAGCGGTCGAGAGAGAGAGAGGCCCGGGCTTGGTATCATAGGGTCGGTTGGGTTGCTTCATGGGGTGGCGTAGGAGTTTTCTATGTGCCTTTTTTTTTTCAACTGAAAGATGTTCCAGTAGCTGAAGAGCCTGCTTTTCCTTGGGAATCATGGGTGGAACGGGAGAAGGATCCCTTGCTAGCCAGCTTAGAGACAATCTTGCGCCTCAATTTTTGGACGATCCCACATTCTCCGCTGCAGATACACCTCTCACATCTCCCACTCCAGAACTCTCCCAAAAGGAACTAAAATGTCCACCAGCACAAAATATCTCCAAACATGTGGACCAATCCGTGACATGCGCCGCAAAGCCCTCCAATCAATCCTCATGAACACCGCCTCAAGAACAGAGCATCCCCGGACCTCACCTGCTCCACAGCCGCTCCCTGCCATCGGGCGCCAGTATGGCCGGGCACCTGGCCCCCCCCCGGAGACGGCGCCGGAGCTCCATCTGCTCGCAGGTGGGAGGGGTTCGGCCGTGCGGAGACGAAGATGCGTCGGGGGTTCGGAGGGACCCACTCTAGGTCCTTTCAATACCGCCTTTCCTCGCCTTTCGAGACACTTCGACTGTTTGGGTGGCTGGCTGTTGGCCGCTGGCGGCCATGGCAGGCCACTTGCTGGCTGCGGATGCGCTGGCTGCCAGAGTCCGGGAGCCCGGCCGGGGGGGGCCTGTGGAGAGGGTGCTCCAAATCGCTCGGTCATGAAATATTTGCATCAATCGAAGTTGAGGCCATGACTGGTTGGGTGTCTGAGGGACGGGAACTCTTATACAACCTCCAAGAGGCCCTGAAGGGGGCCTTGGTGGAAAGACCATCCTCCACCATCAGCGCCATTGTTTCACCGCATCCCAAGAACGCAGTCTGAATGCAACTGTAGGATCAGCGCTTTGACCCCTGGACATGTCGAAATTCCCAGGTGGTGGAATTGGAGCGCTACGCTGGTCAAAGCAATGTGCATTTCCAAGTTGGACCTTCATCATGTGGAAGAGCATTGAAGGGTTCCAGTGACAAACCACTGCATTTTGTGCTTGTGCTTGGGTGACGCGCATTTAATTTCATTCTGCCAGGTGGAAAAAGTTGATCTGGGGTCATTAAGTGAATGGTTTGTAGATCTGAAACTTCTTTGGGGCTATTAGGTTGGAGGCCATCGCCATTAGGTTGGAGGCCATCGCTATTAGGTTGGAGGCCTATTGAGTTGGAGGCCATCGCTATTGGGTTGGACGCCATCACTATTGGTTGGAGGCCATAGCTAGTTAGAAAGGATAATGCACGACAAACACCGGCCTAAGAAAAACGCTGGCGCAAACTGAAACGCAGCCGGCCCCCAAAAAAGCAGCCATCTGTACTGTCAGCTGCCGGGTGCCATGGTTGTGGTTAGAGGCCATCGCCATTAGGTGAGAGGCCATCGCGATTAGGTTGGAGGCCATGGCTTTAGGTTGGAAGCTAATAGGTTGGAGGAATTTCAGGTACTGTATTGTAGCTCCAGTCAGCTTGGCCCAGGCGGAAGGCCCCATGAGCATGCCGGAGACTCTGAGCCCGCTGCAGGTGAAGTTGTGCCCAAGGGATAGTTCTTTCTTATGCTTTCCAAGATGATAACACTACTGGTGTCCAAGACATTTTTGGAAGGCCACATTAACATTGGCCAATGTCAAGTTTAAAGATATGGCTGGGGGTCAAAACCCGCCCCAATCTCTGGTATACCCGCTCACTTGTGAGCAAGGGGTGTATAGACTATGTTCGCCCAAACTCGTTCGAGCCCCAATCCCTGGTAGGTCAATCCCTCCCGAGTAATCGATTCTGTTCGTGTTCGGTTGTCAAGCAGGGTCCACCGGTTTTGATTTCGCTTTGATGCTTTGGTCTTCGTGTCATCAGATGCCATTTTTTTTCCCTTTGCCAACTAAGATCGCAGGTACCGGCTGAGCAATGAAGTTGGGGAACTGCAGGCAGGAAACACAACCGACATCAAACCAAGAATGCAGGAACGACCGTGTTTGCGAGTTTGCCCGGCAGTAACTCAGCTTAGCAGTTCTTTCACGGCTTTTTCAAGGAGTCTAG